ATTAAAAGCAGAAGGTTTAACCAGAATTTTTTTAATGAAGTTAATGACAAGAAGTGTGTTTTTAGCCTGTGTACACTCCTGCGATACTCAATACTTACTGGTCAGCATGGAAACGTACCGCCCACACAAAGTCCAGAAGAGCTTTGCCCATCTGGGTCGCCACCTTCAATCACACACACACACACACACACACACACACACACACACACACACACACACACACACGTGCACACACGCACGCGCACGCAGGCAGGCACAAACACACACACAGGGTTTATTGGGCCCAAAAAACATACACACTATATATGTACAGTACATTTCTATGAAAAGCACTGAGATCAGAAGAGTGTGTGTGTGTGTGTGTGTGTGTGTGTGTACCGGAGCATTGATGGCCAGGTGCATTAGCAGTCCGAGTGTGTGTACCAGTCTTCCCAGCACCAGGTGGTCACTGCCCAAAAGGTCAAAGGTCACCTGTGGCCTAAAACAAACAAACAAAAGCAGAAAATCTAAAGCTTTCTCAGTTACCATGACACACGACCACGGCACAGTCTCTGCAACACAATCACCAAAGATTAGTCACTATAAAACCACAAACAGCCTGGAACACACACTTACTACAGACACACAATCTGAACGTGGAACACACACACACGCACACACGCACACACACCTGTCGTAGTTTCTCAACAGGGGAAAGAAGAAGTAGCCAGCGACAGGGGCGTAGCGGTTCGGAGTGGCTTTATGGGGCTGTGACACACCCTGAGGACACACACACACACACACACACACACACACACACACACACAGAGTTAACACCAGTCTCAGCTGTGAAAGTTTTGATGTATATTATATATAAATATATTTATATGATGATAATATTTTCACCTTTTGTGTGTGTGTGTGTGTGTGTGTGTGTGCTACCTTACTGATGCGCCGTGTCTTACACTGAATGCGTTTTTCCACAACCTCACGCCAGTGTTCCAGCTCACCACACCTGTCCAGGGGTGTCACCTTGGCAACTGACTGTGACTCCACCCCCTTCTCTGTGATTGGCTCAGAGAGCTCCTGGGCAGAGACAGCAAGGACCTGAAAGGAAACCAGAAACACAGTAACTCACTCTCGTGTTTAACACGTTTTACAGATTTCAGTGTTTAATATGAATAACGTTTAAGAGAATTCTGGATCATTGTGGATATAAATATTAGTAAATGATGAGATTATGGCTGTAGAATCAGCGTTTTCACCTCCAGGATGTCGAGCCTCTGTCTCAGGCTGTAGTTCAGAGAGTAAAACTCAGCAGTCAGATATTCCACAACCTGAG